AAGGACATAAATAGTCAGAACAAAAATGTTGTCTTGGCTGGAAAAAGCACTAAAAAGATTTGTTACGGGCACTAACAAATACAACATCTCAGCATCTCGGAATCAGCTCTCAATGTGACCAACCATTGTCTGAGAAATACGATGACTGGGAGTAATATATTACTGACCATGATATTTGATTTGCGTTTGTGTTTACAGTCCGGTGTGCGGAAATGCAAACCTTTATGTATTTTGTCGAACTCAAATCCCCTAAAATCCAGAACAGTAAAAGCAGTTTGGAGAATGAATGGATGTCTCCAATCTTGTAGTAATGTAGTAACCAGTAATAGGTTGTATCAATTAATACGAGCAGCTTCATAAGTGGAGATCGACAGCTCAAGAAAGAAGGGAAGTTAAAGTCGAAGAAGACGGATAAATAGACCTGCTGGTGCTTTTAAGACTCCTACAGGAAGTTGGTGTTCTATAGGTCTCTTTGTATCAGCTCGGTAACAGCAGTGGGTGTTCTGCGATGCTAGGCAACCCAACTGGCCCCTCCTCCGTCTCAGCATGACCTCTGGTGACCTGTGAACTGTACTGACCTCAAACATAAAGAGGAAGGCCGGGCCAAGACCGAGGGAAAGCTTTTAGGAGGTGACAGCACTCAGAGAGAGGCCTGGAACTGATTTACTGGCCCGCATACACGACGGACTGACACACGCATGCACACACACACTCACGCAGGCAGATATACAGACAGGAAAATGACACACATGGGATACAACCTGTCATGCAGATGCCAAAGTATAATGAAATTAGTTTAAATCGCCCCGCACTGACAAACTGGAGAAAAGTGTCGGGACATTTTTCCTGCAATCCCTTCACCCCGTCCTCTGCCCTCCTGACCCAAAAGTGAACTCTGGGGGAGAGCTGGAGGTCAAACGGGACATAACTGTCCCAGTGACCAAAATTCACCTCCCATAATTTAGCAATGGCTGAGCCGCTAGAGCTACAGACTCACATGTGTCTCAAAAGCTGTCCACCTCCAGCCATACGGGCCATAATTACAATCTAGCCAATTTAATAGGAAGCCAAACTTTATCTCAATCATTCAGCATCTTTCATCGCCTGTTAATGCACACACCAATCTCAGTCCGGAAGGCACTCCCACCATCAAACCCAAATGCACACTTGTGGACATGCACATACACATTCACAAAACTGCTATCTTTCATCTGTATTTGCTTATATCTGAGATCTGTATCGGTTCCCCCTGATCTCCAGTCATCTCTGTGGCTGCTTAATTACACCCTTCATTAACTCACATCAGCTCTGTGCATGTGTGTAGCTGCCTGTGGGAAACAAAGATTACAAGTAGAGTAGAGTATGTGCCTTTGAGGGAGCAAAAAAAACCAAAACAATTGATTAAGAAAAAGGGGAGTGGAGATCGAAGCTCTGAGTCAATTTCTTAAACTGTGCCTTTTAACCCTAGGATAGAGGAGACCTCCACAATCATTCTAAAGTGCGTAAGAGTAAGTTAAGGGCAAGAGAAAGAGAGTGAAAAGGGGGATAAAAGATCCCTGGTTGTTTTAGCTGATCGATGAGTGGCACAGAGGAAACAGCACCTTTTTGTCACCATCACTCCCTTTAACAGTGATGGTGACAAAACACTCCCAACATCAGTGCCCGCCTCTGGTGTAGCTGCTGCAACACCGGAGGCGACTCACACATGGCGAGGGCAAAAGGAGGAAACATGAAATGGGAGGGAATATAGGGGACAGGAGAATTGACGGCGCTCAAAGTGCAGACTCTCATCTCCACAAAAAAAACCCAAAGAGACAAGTAAAGAAAAGGAAAGAATTGAGGACACCTGGTTCTCGTCAGAGCACCCTCCATCCAGCCACACACACACACACTTTGAGGTTTGTTAGGATTTACCCTGCTTACATTTCTCCTTTGCTATGCATCATTTCACGTCTGCACCCATGCCCGGTCAACAAAGTGCCATACACTCTCGACTGCACTCTCACTTTTCCACCTCTCCTTCCTCTCGCCCTGTAACTCCACTCTTTGTTTCCCCTCTTCTCCCTCCTCTCCCTCCTCGATGACGGGGCAGAACTGGTCTTCGCCCCCTCTTCCCTTTCTTCCCTCTCTTCCCTCTCTCCTGCTCTGTTCTTTCTGGGGAGGCAGACAGGCCACATTCCACAGGGAGGCCCAGGCGCCCTTTTCTGACACGTCTCAGCATTACACCCCTCCCTCATCCCTCTATTCCTCCTCTCCAGCCCACCACCCCCCCTCCTTCTCCCTTTGGCTTTATATCCAATCTCCCCAATACACTTTTTTACACTCACAACGTTCCTCATTTGTCCATTGACCAACTACAGCATGTTGTTGTTTTATATATACATCTATCTACCTATTAATGACAAATATCAAGAATGAGATGGAGTTAGAGAGGCAAGAAGGAGCTGAGAGAGATAGAAGACAGAGAGAGGCCAGTAGAGAGGTTTGAAGGCTGGAGATGGCTGTGATTTCTCTCAGGTTCCCAAGGGGCCCAAGGAAAAGAAGGCTTTGTGTTCTGACAACACCGCGCTGTCAGGAGTTCTCTCTGTGTGTGAGTGTGTCTTTTTCGCTCCAGTGCGCACCGGCATGGTGTTTAAGCACCAACACTACTAGTCTGCACTACACCTCCAGGTGAGAGACTCAACCATGGAGGAAAAATGAACAAGAAGGGGAGGATGAGGAGGAGGAAGGGTTTCCAAAGCTTTAAAGTTGAAGCATGAGCAGGTTCTTATACAATTTTGCCAGGTGAGCAGTGTCAGTATTTGGCCTTCTGTGTCAGACAATATAGATTTTTTTAGCAGTGGGTCTATGCGAAGACTAGCCTCTATGGCCACCCAGCATTACAGCACAAAAACCGTGTTGGAATAAGGAATAAAAAAAGACAGACAACGTGGACGAAGCATGTGCAGATTAGAAGTTTTACAAAAGCAGACATATGCCTGTCACGGCATCTACTTTATTTTAAACACATTTAAGAATGTTCATATATAAATAAACTCAAAACTGCTCAATCTCTAATTCAATTCAGCCAAAGTTTTGACAACCAGAGATGGTCACAATGAGAAAAGGGAAATAAATTGTAGGAATGTAAAACCAGGAAGGAAATAATGTTTTTCAAAGAGTATGAGTAGGACTCATACAAGACAGACTTGATTTTGATCCTATACTGACCTCTTAATTGTTAAGTAAAACACAACTGTACAGGAAATACAGCGCAAACTGAGAAAATTAGGTTGAACAGTAAGCTCAAAATATATAATTGCAAACATACATTGCATTGTATTTACTGTATTTATCATTAACCTTTTTAGGGAGGCGAGGGCCGGGATCTGGAGGAAAGGTTGTGCTTGTCTTTCATGGTCCGCAGCGGATAGAAGGTGAAAGAAATACAGTGAGAGAGAGGAAGAGAAAAAGATGGAAAAAGAGAGGGAGGTATGTTTGTGGTTGGTAACCCGCTTAAGAGAGGAAATACCAGCCTGCACACACATACACACACACACAGGTGCAAAAACATAGAGAGCAGAGAAACGTCCAAGAGAATAAAGACCTGCTTTGTATGAGCTACGGGTTCGGTGTTTATGTGTGTGTGTGCATTTGTGCGTTGCTGTGTGTGTCCTTGGATGAAGGTTGCTGAGGAAGCAGGGTGAGGATGCAGTCAGGGGAAGGAGGAGGGAAAGCAGGACATAAGTGAAGGGCCTTGAGTGTTCTTCATTCACCTAAGGCTCCATCATTATAATTAAGAGGAATCATTTTAGCAGCAGGGAGGAAACCCAGATTTTCTCCCCAGGCTTTCCTCAACTCAGCTGTTGTCGGAGAGCCCAGAACTCACACTGAACCTGTGTGATGGGCAGACACAACGCGAGCGCAAACACACACACGGAAAGGGGGGGAGTTTAATAATTTTAGCCGCATGCTTATATGGCTAGTGCATATAGTGAATACGAGCACATATTGTCCCCTCATCTCAAATGCCACATCAATGACTGCAACACGAATCAGTGAGTTTCCATCATTAGATGACAACACTCAGCGGACGTTCTTGTGCCGTTATGGACAAATGCCTAATCTAGAGACCTCTGGATGGGGGGGCTGATGCACAGCAGGCAAGTTAAATGGCATAACTGGCAACATTACCAGCCAACGTGTCGGACACAAACCACGCCAACTTAATGGTTGATTCATTTAATTTCCCACAAAGGTGAGTCTACCACACACACTCCTTCAGCTTCTGAGTTCAATATTGTGTTTTGTTTATATCTTCAGAATGTACGAGTTTAATGGCGCGTTTCCACCGAACGGTATGGTACGGTACGGGTCGGGTCGGTACGGGTCGGGTCTGTTAACCATGATTTGGCGAGCGTTTCCACCGCCAACAGTACCCTTACTTGATAGGCGTAGCTCCACCCTTTAGTACCAAACAACTGTGCAAGGTACCCCAACGGAAGGGTACCCAAAAAGTGCTACGGTACGGTTCAGATTTTTGGTACCATTCTCAACTTTTGGCAGTGGAGACACAAATAAAAGGGTACCGACCCGACCCGTACCGTACCGCTCGGTGGAAACGCGCCATAAGTGTAATCCTCAGGACAGGACAAAATGGCTCCTCTCACCTAGCGGGCTTAGACGGCAGGTGTGTCACATATTATCCCAATTAGTAACGGGATAATAATTAGCCTCCTACGTATGAATTAATGTGGGGGACTCTGTCCCTGTTGAATTAGCTCGCACATTATGAACGATGGGAGAATAAAAGCACCTACAAGCCAACCTGTAAGAGCTTTTCACGGATCGCACGTGTTGTCACTTGTACTTGTACTGTACATCATGTAACAGCCTGGTGTGTACATGTTCTTCCAGAAAGAATGTACTTATGCACATGGGTTGCAAAACAAGTCTTGTAAGCACACACAATGCTTACAAGTGGAATGGAAACATACTATCTCCCACACACACACACACACCTGTTGTTGCTGCAGGTGCAGTAAGTCGACTGGGCTAATCTCTCCGTTTGTGTCTCCGTTAGAACCGCCCTCTCTACCGCCCCCTACATCTGATTGGCTGCTGACTCCGTTCTGGTTGGACGGTGTCGTTCGAATGGTCTCAGAGGCCGATTCCACCATCATCACTGGCACCTGAGAGCAGAGAGGTAGGAGGGAGGTGGGGGGGTCGGAGGGGGCAAAACAACAGACAGATTGAATAAATGTGACCTGGGCAGTTTGTGCAGAAAACCTGCTCCCATCAGAGAGAACAAACAAGGCAGGTACCTAAAGTAAACACACACCGAGATAATGAAGTGAATTGTGTGTTTATGTATGTGCATGTGTGTGTGTGCACGTGTACTTTTTGAAAAGGGCTTTTGGTCATGAACCACCCACACAAACATGCCCAAGTGGCCACAAAGGAACACCTAAGGCAGACACTTTTTTGTCTGTACCTAAATGGGTGTCTCGGAGCGTACGCATGGATTAGGATCAGACGTGCAGCAAATCTGAACTGACAAGGCTGTTAATACTCTGCTATACAGTTAAATAACACAGACATTTCTCCAATAATCAGAGGTGGCATGTGTGCGCCGTGTGAGAGCCATGAGCAGGTCGGTCTTTGAGAAATCTCCGTTTGATACACCTTCATAGGGCCTCTCTAATTAGAGCTTGTTCCTTCCACAAAACCCGACAAAACGAGCCATTCCTGGATGTGTTGTTGTTTTTGAGAAACAAGGCCTCGCAAACACACGGGAGCATTTGCCATCGTTAGGAGCTTGAGCGTGGGAGAGAGGAGACGCCGAGAGACATACAGAGGCGCGTGAAGAACACACACAAGGCAGCTTCACAAAACAAAACAAACCCTCACACAAGCACGCAGGCTGTGAACTCCTAATGACAAGCTCAATGTCGTCTTTCTGCTTCATCCAGTTTTAGAAATTAACACACACACACGCACACACACACACGCACACACACAACTATAGTTTTTAAGGGGAAAGTTCTAATGCTTTTATTTCAGCAAACCAGGGTGGGTACACAGAACGCCATCGAGGCATTGTTCCCATGACTGTGTGTGTGTGTGTGTGTGTGTGTGCGTGTGTGGGTGGGTGGGTGCGTTTCTCAGAAGCGTACAAACCATGCCTTCTGGGGAAACAATAAAAGGCATTTCATGAGAGAATCTTAACTTTGAGGCAATAGCAGGTGAGTCGCTGTGTGTGTGTGTGTGTGTGTGTGTGTGTGTGTGTTTCTGAGACTGACAGCAGGTGAGGTTGTGAAAGAGCGCTAGTGGCTCTGTTAGTGGAATGCTGCCAGATGCTTGCTGAGGGACTGAGACCGGAGAGTGTGTTTGTGTGAGTGTGAGTGTGTGTGTTTGGGGGGATACAAGTGTGTGCAGGTCGATGGGCTAGTGGGTGTGCTAGCTAAATGGTCAGTTACTCCGAATCCTGCAAAAATGTTGCTGTTGAATTATGCAGATCTGATTTTTCCAAAGAATTCTCTGCTGGTGAATTGATAGGATAGAGATGCATATACAATAGTTTGTGCTTGTCACTGCCTTAAAATAACATTTAAAAATAATAATAATAAAGCCCCCTGTTACTCTGAAATCAGAGAGGTTCGTCTAAAATCCTAAAAGAAGAGCGACACAAACCAAATTCATTTTACTATCATTGTATTGTATCCGCCTAGTATTAGAAGTTTCAAAGGAGTCTTGCTTGATACTGCAGGAAATACATGATGAAATGTTTGTTTTTTTGAGCGGAAGGTTCATTATTGACCTTTTAAAAGTGCAGGTGGCAAATAAGATGTGAGATCAATTTTGTCAACGTTATTTTTCTTCTTTTTTTGGTTAAAGGTACCGGCCCACAGATAGACTTCACTATTCCTCACTAACAAGCAACACAATTTGGAAAAACTGTGGTGTTTTTCCTCCCCATTGACTGCCTCCTCCAGTCTCCTCGCTCCCTCCTGGCACCAAATAGCCTGTGAAGTTAAGATTGAGAAGTTGAATGTTATTGTGACATTCAAAGTTAGTCACTTAATCTCCAACCTCAATTCCTCTACCCCACACTTCCTTCCTTCTTCATTCTGTTTCCTTCTGACTCCTCCCACCTTCATCTGGACCTCTGCTCAGTCAAACTGCTCCCTGAGGTAATATTATGAAGCAAGGCATAGTGCTGAGTGATCAACAGATCCTACTGCACAGTCCCTTGGCTTCAGTAGAAGCTCTTCGCATCATCACACGTCTCGCTAAGCATGAATCACTGGTTCGCTGTCTGGCCCACACTACACAGTGCTGTTCTGTAATGTACTGTACACTCATCTGCTTCCAACTTTTCCTCATTGACCTTATTAGCAATGAAGGGAAGAGGGATAAAGACGGACAGAGAGATAGAGCTCGCAGGTGGACAAGGACCTAATGGGAAATAGGGGAGTGTGTAAAGAGGTGAGCGCATGCCCTCTCTTTCACACACACACACACACACACACGGGCAGTGTGGTATGCTCTTCTAAAGGGTGTGTACGCTGTCATATCCTGTAATGGGTGTATATAAGCTGGTGTAATGGAGGTCGGGAAAGAGGCAGGGGCATAAATCTACCCTGAAGTCTCTGATTAGGGCTATGATACACACACACAGACACACACACACAGTGCTTTAAGTTTAAGTGTTTCTGGCAGTGAAGAGAAGCTGCCCGTGCATAGGCCTGCCTCAACCTGCTACTCACTCTTTCAATGTCTCCTACCCGCTTTCTCTACATGCTCAGACCCCCTCCAGCTGAACCCCTGACCCGAGAGTGTGTTGGGAGAGACATTCCCACTACCTCGAGGGGGCCGAGCGAAGTGGGAGGGGCGCAGATCAGAGAGATAAAGAATGCGTTGGAGGGAAATAAAAGGCCTCTTTTGCCTTCTAATTGGGATCGAGAAGAGAAGAAGGGAAATGGGACTGAACATGTTTCTGATGACTCCGGTGTGTGCGTGTGTTTGTCTAAGAGGCTGACACCTACCTTTGTACTGTAACAGATTAGCTCATAGCCAACGCTAGCTGCATGTGTTTGTATGTGTGTCTGGTGTGATTGATGAGCGCCGAGGAGCTGGTGATGAGTCTTGTTTCGACACGTAGGATTGTTCAGATGTTCCCTAAAACTTAGCAGTAATAATAATCAGATCTCAGCGATCCATCCGCTCCTTCCCACTGCTCTGGGTGTGTGTGGAGTTCAAACAAGCCGAGCCAAATGCCCAGTGAGGTGGCTCACAGCGGCTGACTCCCAGGCTTTGTTGAAGGGATTGGCTCTGTCAGATTCCTCCTGGTCACAGCTCGTCAGAACCGTAAAGCCGACCAGTTTCACTCTCTGTGAATGAGTGTTTGTCAGTGTGAGAGCGAGTTGTGTACAGTGTGTATTTTTGTGTGCATCTGTGTTTACAGCAGCTTAGTGAGATAATAAGTCTTTATCATGTTATGCCTCATGAGGGAATATTTCCAGCAGTCCCAGAACGCCTGTTCTGTTTCCTCCGCCTTGCATCAGCTCGCAGGAACGCTGCTTATTAGGCAAAGAACTGAGGGAATAAGGGTGGGAGGGAAAGAAGGAGGAGGAGGGAGAAGGAGGGAGGGGGCAAAGGAAAAAGAAAATTGTCTGTACCAGTATCTACACTCCATCATCTGTCTTCTACTTTCATCTGAGTCTTGAATTATCTGTCTTTCCCCTACTCTCTGCATGCTGTCTTTCTCCCTCTGGTTATGCCTGGTAACTATTGGCAGGTTCAACCTTGGAAAACATTAAACAAGTTTTCTCCCTGAAATAGAATCCACATAGGTTACTTCTATGATCTCTGATAGTTCAATCAATATTTGTGAGCAAGCGAAACACTCTTCCCCGAGATAGAAATCTGACAAACTGGATCTGTAACGTGTTTTGTAATCAGGAAGCTGAACTTGGAGGAGCCTCTGTTGACAATGAGGGTCTATTAATCAAATATTTGGTTGTTATACCGAAAGGGGGAGTTTTATTTGTTACAATTGACACTAAAAACTACTGTCATTGTGTCCACGCAATATCATATTTGCCGTCAGTGGAGCGGCTTTAGGATTTGTCTTTTGAAAGCATCCCAAAGCGTCTAAGTTTTTCAATGAACACTGACAACAACAATTAATAATGCGAACACATACACACCCATGTTGTCACACTCTCACCTAAGACTAAAAAAACAGTGACACTGGCTTTGAGGGGATATGCTTTGACCCCAAAACCCAGCACAATGCAACTATGAAGTCTGTACTTTTATTGTATATCTCCATTTATTACACCTTCAATCCCCATCTCCAACAAGAGAAACTGCGAAAAGGAAAAACACAAATAACATATGGCATTTGGTGGTGGTGTCTGATGAGAGAAACAAGAATATGTGTTATTAATGTTCCAGTAGTGATTCCGCAGCATTGACAAGCAGATATTCAAATATCTAACTAACGAGGATTCTGCGTGTCCTGATGTTGATTCTCAGAAAAGCATCAACCTAAATTAAATTCTGCGATTTACAGTCAGACAGACTTTTTACCTTTCTAATTTCTAATCGCAACACTAATGCTTAGTAGCTCCATTCGAAGACTTGAAGTAGTAACATTTTCAGAGAAAGCTAAGACGAGTGATGCACTCCATTTAATATGAATATTGTTTTTTAAAACACAACTTTTTTTGATGATCTGCGCGTAATGCACACAACCGTATATGTATGTATAACAGCCACACTGAGGGGTAAATAAAAAGTTCTGTATGTCTTCTGCAATCGTCTCTGACTCTCAAGAGTGCTGAAGGGGAGAGAAGGGAGAGATATCTGCGTGGCATTTCTGAGCTGATCTATTAGCTTCAATAAAAGAGAATGAGGTCAGGCAAGAGCGAAAGAAATAAGGTAACACGTATTGTCACACAAGCGAGCATGCGCATAGAAACACATAGTTTGGTTGTTTCCTCTGATGCTGGCGGTTACTACCTGCTAATCAGATTTACAGCAGGACACCATAGCGGGGCAGCCAGGTAGTGTTCCACACAGAGCTAGAGCTAGCGGCTAAAAGCGCTACCCCAGGCTGCTCCGGTTGCCAGCCAGTGCACAACAGGTGGGCTAACAGTATAGCGTTAACGCTAGTCTGCGGCTG